TCAGAGAATATGTGGGGACTCCTGAATAACTTTACAATGATACATTAAAATATCTGTTTTCAACTCACCAACATAAACAAATAAAATATTCAGAACGTAATCACAGTCTGGACATCTACAGCTGACTAACTTCTGGAGACAGTTCCTTTTAAGATGGCCACCACAGCTAATTCAAATTAGCCGAGAGGAAAATGTGTGTAGCTCTGTCATTTTAACAGAAGTTGAGTTGAGTTTTGATTTAATACTAGCTAAGAATCATTCACATCACGTATTGTGAATGTGACGTCACACATACACTGTTTAATCGTGATAAAACTTTTTTTTTCGTGTTCATTTATTGTGTTTGGATGCACTTAGTTGTTAAATGATTGTTCCACACATGTATTTTGTTAATGTGGCCAGGTTCTCAGTGAGAGAAAAAATAAATGGTTTGCCTGAGTAACTTCATATAGTGTTCTCCTCTAAATTTTCATTCAACCTTTATTTAGACAAAATCCCATTGAGCCTTGAGGACTCATTTACAAGAGAGACCTGATTTCAACACAAAGAATTATGACAACAATGCACAACAGTGACAACAATAGACAGCCACAAAAAAGGCATACAGATTTTTTAAAAATGTTTGTTTAACCAGCATAGTCAAAATTTTTTAATGTTTGATTTCTTTTTTAGTCTGATTCTGATAACGTCTTGTTTGTGACTTTTTGCATCATTCGGACGTTATGCTAGCCTTGTGGTGGCACGGTGGTGCAGATGGTATTGCTGCTTCCTCTCAGCGAGAAGGTCGCGGGATCGAATCTCAGTCAGTGGTGCCATTCTGGGTGGACTTTGCATGTTTTCTCCGTGCATGTGTGGGTTTTCTCCGTGTACTCCGGTTTCCTCCCACAGACCAGAAACATGCATGTAAGCCTGATTGGTAACTTTAAATTGTCCCTAGGTGTGAGTGAGAGAGTGAATGGTTGTTTGTCTCATTTGTCTCTATGTGTCCCTGTGATGGACTGGAGACCTGTCCAGGGTGTAACGTGCCTCTCACACAGTGACAGCTGGATATGGGCACCAGTGACCCCCGTGACCCAAAAAGGAAGAAGCGAGTAAAGATAATGGATGTTAGCCTTGCTGTGACCGTCATGGCTCCAGCTCAACCTGGAGGACCACTCAAGACAAAACGTGACAAATTCAGAACTGGTTCAAGTGCAGCTGCACCAAACTCTGTGGAACAGATCAAGGTCTACTGTCGCTACCTGCACTTCAAGATGGGGCGAGAGTTGATAACCATCTGCAGAGCAAGGTTTTCCAAAGAGGCAGATGAACACACGGTATCAGTGACCTAAACATGTTGTATTCCAGTACAGGATAACCAGGGTAGTGCATTGGTGCATTTTTCACGTCATTTCACATTAATCCTGACTAAACTATGCACCATACTGCAACATCTGGAGCCCTGATGGAAATCTGACAGATTTTCTGATTCCTGATCTCATTTTAAAAATTTGTGAGAGTGTACAAACTTATGCTCCTTTGTGAAGTACTTCACTCCTCATGACCATTGTAAGAGGAGGAAGTGGTTCTACGGCCAGCCAACAAAAATGAAATAGTCAGCAGATCAGTCTTTAATGTACGAGTCAGGAGAACATGAGTTTGTTCCTTTCTTTCCTACAGAGGGATTGTACATATACTGAAGTGACAAACAAAATACAAAAGGCACCTTTTAGTTTATAATGTAATTACAAACTATTTGAAAACAAATATTGGGAAAAAAAAAATTCAAATTTTGTTTTGCCATAAAGAATTCTTACTTTTATTATTTTATTTTATTTTTTAGAATAATGAACAAAATCAAGTCAGTTCTCATTTGTTTTAGTCCTACTGCATTTCTATTTAAACTAGTTTATCAGAAATAATTCAGTTTGGAACAGATAAAATAATTCCCAAAGGGATGTTAGCTATTAATTTGACAGGCATGAAAGATAATGTGTCTGTTGTGACATAAAGTAAGTCAGGAACATTAGAACTGTTTGTTTATTTCCTCTTGGCAGGATAAAATGTTGTTTATTTAATGCTTGTGTTTGAAATAAAGAAATCTTTAATTTCTTACAAATAAAAACTGGTCCAGATTTCATTGTCTGCTTACAATGTCTTCATTCAACAACTTTGGAAAATCGTGTTTATTGCTGATTATAAATGCATATTTGAAAAAAAAAAAAGAAATAAACTCAATTGCCCGGCTCTTCACATTTAATTTTAATAATTAATGGGAAAAAAAACAGTTAAGCTGGTCGAAATCAAATCTGGTGTTGCTTCTATCGTGAGCATTGTAAATGAGTCAAATCAGATGTGATCTTGTCGTGAAGTTATGCAGATGTCGTATGGTTTTGGTGCTAGAGTGACTCCAAAACGGTAATCCATGACAACTTGTGCTCCAGCGGGCATAGAGAAAGAAAAGTGCTGCATGAAGGAGACGAAGAAGAGGAACAGTTCCATTCGAGCCAGGTTCTCTCCAAGGCACAGACGCTTTCCTAAAACGAAAATAAAATTTCAAAAAATGGAAATGGTGGTGCACTGATAGATCAATTTTTTTCTTTTAAGTATAAAGCCAAAAATAATACAGATATAATATCAGTTTTGTTGTTTTTGATTTGTTTCTTAACTCCTCACCTGCAGAAAAAGGAATGAACGCTGCTGGTTTCACAAACTTGCCCTCTTTATTGAGAAAGTGTCCTGGATTGAAGGTGAAAGGTGTCTCCCACTCAGTCTCGTCAAACAACACTGAAGCTAGATTAGGAATTATCAGTACTCCCTGCAGAATAGAATAAGGATGTATAAATACAAACTATTGCATCATAAAACTTTTTTTTTTTTTTTTTTTTTACCAGACTGATCCAATAATAACCTTTGGGATGGTGTAACCTCCCAGCTGGACTTCTTTGTTGGTGGCATGTGGTAAACTGAGAGGAGCTATGTTGGCCATCCTTTGGATCTCGTGGATCACAGCATCGGTGTAGGGCAGATTTGCACGATCCTCCATGCATGGCTGCCTGGACTGTCCAATCACTCTATCTATCTCAGCTTGAACTTTCTCTGTGCAAGTCAAAAACTTTGAGTTTTTTTTGGATTCTCACTTGGATTCGCTAATATTGCTGATGAGAAAATCAAGGATCTTTGCTATCCTGTAAATCTTCTCACCTTGGATCTCTGGATATTTTGCCATGTAGAGAAAAGCCCAACGTAGGGTAGTGGATGTGGTTTCTGAACCGGCCACAAACAAATCCAGAACACACATAATCAAGTTTTCCTCATCAAAAGTGTTGTCGTCCTGACCCTGATTCTGAGAAAATACCATAAACACGTGTTAAAAAGGGGCCACAAAACAAAGAAAAAATACATTTGCACATCTGCTGTTTAAACACTGCTAATTATTATGAACAACTGTGAGGCAAAAGTCAAGTGATGAAACGGACCAAATTGTTTTTTAGTTCACGTTTCATGTTTCACCAGTCAGAAGTTGTGCCACATTACAACGTAGTGCAAAGGTGACCACAGAAGTTGTGATATAGATGCAGCACATGTAAAGAAAATGGCAGACGCAACTTCTAAGCTAAAAAAAAAACCAAGACAAAAGACATTTTCTGAAATAAACCAAACATCTCAAGGCGTTTCATGTTCACAAAAGCCAAAACACAAATGATTATTAAAGACAAACGCAGCATTGTGTAGCATCACTCACCATCTGAATCTCGTTCAGGTAGCAGTCAATGTAGTCCCTTGGATCTGAGGGATCCCACGTCTTTTTGTGCTCATTCATCTCTTCTCGTATGAAGTTCTTCACATCGTTCCAGAGACGTTTGAACGTTTGATGTGGACCTGGCAGACACCTCATCAGCAGAGGGAATGAGTTGTAGAGCTGCACAGGGGAGCAGATTAAACAGGGTAGTGATCCTGACATTTGTCTCACTGTTTGTGGAACTGACGGCTACATTTTGCAATAAAGAACCAGAGATGAGGATGCTTTTCACATCGCTCCCCAACTCTGAGGTTTGCAGCATTATTTACTCCTTGCTTCACTTCTGTGTCTGTCTTAAAGAGTCACTACACACATGGCCAAATCTTTGATAAGAGAGAAAACATCACACACATTACAAAAAAGTTTAATTGTGTCATCTGGACAAGTTTCTTTAAGGGAGAAATGTTTTGTTTTTCATCTGAAAGACTTGAGCAGTGTACAACCTGGCAACCCAGAACTGTCCCGTAAATAACGTCCTTGAGATGTTTCAAACCAACGTCCTGTTGAATTCCCAGAAACCGACTTCTAACACATGCAACAAAAAAGGGACCACCCATCCAAAACAATCAATCATCATACATAACAATGCATGATGAAGTCTTTTGGATGAAAGACGAAACCTTTCTCCCTTAAAGATGCTTGTCCAGATGACAATTTAACCTTTTTTTGTTGTTATCTACCTGGATGACTAAACTTACAAATGTTTTTCTGAACCATTTTGGCCTTATTGCCATCAGGCTGTTTTTGTGAGTAGCAAGTTGGTCATCTGGCCTAAACATTTGATGTTATGCATGATGATTGATTGTTTTGGATGGATAGTCCCCATTTTTTTTTTTTTTTGCATGTGTTAGAAGCTGGTTTCTGGGAATTCAACAGGACGTTGGTTTGAAACACACCAATGAGGGCTATTTATGGGACAGGTCTGGGTTGGCAGGCCACAGACTGATGAAGTCTTTCTGATGAAAAATGAAATATTTCTCCCTTAAATTTCTCCCTCTTCTCCACAACTTCTCCTCCTCCACCATAACCCTCAGCACTGGCTCTCCTCAGGGATGTGTGTTGAGCCCCCTTCTGTTTACTCTGCTCACATATGATTGTGCAGCTACCCATCCAGGCTGTCACATTGTAAAGTTTGCAGATGATACAGCGTGGTGGGATGCATCACAAACAATGATGAGTCCAGCTACAGGCAAGAGGTGGAACACCTGGAGAGCTGGTGCAAAGAGAATAACCTTCACATCAATGTGAAGAAGACAAAGGAGATGATTGTGGACTTCAGAAGGAACAAAAACACCTACACCCCCCTGAACATAAGAGGATCTGCGGTGGAAGTGGTCTCCAGCTACAAGTACTTGGGTGTACACATGAATAACAACCTCAGCTGGAGCAACAACACCACCAGCCTGATCAAGAAAGCTCATCAGAGACTCTACTTCCTCAGACGGCTGAGGCGAGCTGGTCTGGGAAGCTCAGTCCTCACCTCCTTCTACAGGTGTGCAGTGGAGAGCATCCTGTGCTCCAGCATCAATGTGTGGCATGGAGGCTACACAGCTGCAGAAAGAAAAGCTTTGCAGAGAGTGGTGAAGGCTGCACAGAAGACTGTTGGAATCAGCCTCCCCACCATCACAGACATCTACACCTCCAGATGCAGGAAGAGGGCCACCTGCATCATGAAGGACCCCACTCACCCAGCACACACACTTTTTGCCCCACTCCCCTCAGGAAGGAGGTTAAGGAGCATTAAGTGTAGAACCACTAGACTGAGGAACAGCTTCTACCCTGAGGCTGTTAGACTCATGAATCTCTAACTAGAATAATCACTGTGAAAAACCATATCATGTTGCTGCTGATCTGTTTCAATGTTGATGTGTTCATGCGTGCACATCTGCTCACAGACTCATGTTCATGTTTGTGCTGATGTTCAATGTTTTATGTTATGAGTGCTTAGTGTATATTTAGTTTATGTTTTTCTTAGTTCATATCTTAGATGTTATTACTGTTTTTCTTATACATTTTATTGTTGGATGTAACTGGGACCTTGTGTACATAATTTCGCTCCACCAAATGTACCACATGAGGTGCGAATGACAATAAAGAAACTCTGACTCTGACTCTGACTTAAAGAAACTTGTCCAAATGACACGATTTAACATTTTTTGATTTATCTACCTGGATGCTTGAGCTTACAAACCTTAATCACACACATTAAGATCCCAGCAGAGGCTTTAAAAGTCAGTACCTGTACCCAGACGGAGACTTCAATCTGGAGGACTTGGTCAAACAGCAGCGTCATTTTTGTGAATTTCTCATCACCATAATCGAAGCGATGACCAAACACCAGCTGGCAGATGATGTTGGCAACAGTGTTATTGATGACAAGATATGGATTGAATGGTTTTGCTGCAAATTTAAACAAAGCATTTGTTATAAATTGTCGATTTCTTCAATTAAAAACTGTTTCTGTGTAACGTGTTCACCTTTATAGGCTCTAATTTCCTCTGCACAATATGTGAATTCATCCAGGATGACAGGTTCAAGTGATTTTTTCCCAAAACCAAAATACTTTAAGGTTGAAAGTGCAAAACGTCTCTGCTGTTTCCAGATGTTGCCATTACTGAAAATCACACCTTAGGAGTAAAGCACAAGGTGGTTTCATAGCAGACGAGACAGGAAGACTTAACTTGTTGATATTTTATCATTCATTTTACTGGGATGGCTCTATTACTTTTTAAACAACATTTTACATCAGAAAAAAAGTATTTTTGCAACACGGTGGTGATATTGTTGCAGTGCACGAGACTAACCCATACAAAGTCCTAAATGTGCCTGAACCTGAGATTTGTCATTACAGTCAGTTACAACATATTTGAATGGCTGGTATGGGCTCCAATCAAACGCTGAAGCACTGAAGCTATAAACAGCAAAAATGCTAAAAACGGAAATATATTTTTGTAAAATTGGTACCAGCTCCTACAATGGGTCAATCATTTAGGAAGCACAAATAAAACTCAGTTTTGTTCAACATAAAATATATTTTAAATGTTTCAAGAAGCTGTTGAGCTTGGGTTTAAGCAAGATAACGGTGACAAATATGTCGATATATTCACCAAAACAATCCTGTCCTTTTGAACATGCTTTAGCCTAACTTTACTGTTTTTATGTAATTCACATAATCTTGATTCCAAAATAATGTGACTTGTGTTTTCTGATTTTTTCTATTTGACAACGCAAAAATAATGTTGAAACATTTTATACACAGAACTAGACAATCAGTTTTTCTTCTTGAGCACTGTAAAATACAAAATCAAATCTGTTCGGTCTTCTCACCTAGCCCGTTTCCAACCTCCTCCTGTATAGGGAAATCTGGACGGTCAACTGTGCTGTCTCCTTTTGTAGCCAGACCTTCCTTCACAGCTTCAAACCCATTTAAAACTACGGCCTGTCTCTGACCAAACCGTATGCTGTATACATTCCCATGTTTCTTTGCCAACTGGGTGACGATTTAGAAGAAACAGCAAAAACAACTCATGAAAATAGCAGTGAAACGAGCTCAGGTGTAATCTGTAAGAATTCAAGGTTCCTTCGTACCTGCATCAGGCTCTCATGGGCCCTGTTTTGGTCCAGAGTGAATATGTTGCCCACGATTGGAAAAGCTCGAGGTCCTGGAGGAAAACCAACTGGGCGACGATTTTTAATATAATCTGCAGTGATGATAAAAACTACCACAAACAGCAGAAGGCTTTTTACGTCCCACTCAATGTAGGATCCAATCGTAGCAAAAATGGAATCCATCCTACAAAACTGTCAAGCCAAATGAGAGTGCCTCATTAAAGATAAAGTACTAATACTGTGCAAAAAACGTCAGTTTTATCAGTCCTTTTAGGGCAAGGCTTAGTACTGTCATCCTGGGTGAATATATTACTGATTACTCTGGACTCTGACCCCTTCATAATTGTACTTAAAAACAGATGTGTTAAACAGAAGGGATTTATAAAACTATGTAAGGAACTGTGGTTTCATTTTAAACCAGTATCTGTAAGGTTAGTGGGATTTAGGCTTCCCTGAAGTGTCCAGTGGGTGTGTTAATTCACTTATTGCTCTTAAAGCAGTTTTGTTTGTATGTAGTCATTATGTGACCTTTGTGCAGAATTATTTGAAGCACTGTGCATGTGAGTCCTTTGGTCTACATGGCTGTTTCACAACAAAAACTGTGTGTGTAGCTTGTAGACCACTGTCCTAAACTGAACAAATGCCATGAAGGCAAAAAGGAAATAATATTCCTAATTGTCTTCATTTGGGATTCATTTGAATTGTCTTGCGATGACACAAATGGTGATTTTAAAGTTAAAACACTGAAGTGTGCTGACTAGTCCATAAAGCTTATTAGTTTGTATCAAAGTGGGGGTTTCATGTGAGACTAAATGACCATGCAGTGTGTGCAGTTTGTAAAACAATGTTGCCTGCTCTCTAACTGTTAACAAATGCAACTGATGTGGTTAATATTGTTGAATATTGTTGTTAAAGTAAATGGTCAGATCACATTTTCCAAGGGTTACATGTTGTAAAATATCCCATCAGCAATGAAGTTTAATGGATAATGATCAAAAGTCAAATTTATGATAAGACAGTGTTTAATTTACAAAAAGTTTAATTATTAATGAAGTTCTAAATAGACTTTGTCTGTTCTATTAATGAAATGCTAATGATTATGTATATTTTTATTTGTATTTGTCGTGTTTTTGTTTTTAAAGATATATAAGACATATTGGAAATAATTTCTGATGGTGTAGTACTGTTTTTACACATGGTAGTAAAAAGGGGATCATTTTGATAAAGAGAAGTTGATCGTGATGTAAATATAAAATTTGTATTCATGTTATTTTACACAAATATAGGTATATATAGGTATATATAGGTATATATAGAATATTTGCTCTTTTATGTTTTTTGGGGGAGTGGTGGCGCAGAGGTTAGAGAAGATGGGCCTGTGATCGGAAAGTTGCAGGTTCCACTACCGGTACCTTCAACATCAAAATGTGGGTGGAAAAGGTGAAATACCCACACCTGCTTCCACCCTCATTTGTTCCACTCTAGGCCCCTGAGCAAGGCCCTCATCCCTCACCATCTGCTCCTAAACAGGTCTCTCTTGAAAATGAATTCTCATGACTCAATGAGACTACCTGGATAAAAAAGTGTAAATGAATAAAACAAAATAAAATAAAGTAGGGGTGTCTCAGTGGTCCATTTGGTAGAGCTGCTACCTCCCAGCGAGAAGGTCGCCTGAATGAATCCTGGCTGGGGGGGGGGCATTCTGGGTGGAGTTTGCATGTTCTCTCCAGGTACTTCAGTTTCCTCCCCCACAACAAAAACAAGCATGTTAGGCTGATTGGTAACTCAATTGTCCCTAGGTGTTAGTGAGAGAGTGAATGATTGTCTCTGTGTTCCTGTGATGGACTTGCCACCTGTCCAGGGTGTCCCCCGGCTCTCACACAGTGATGGCTGGACATGGGCACCAGTGACCCCCGTGACCCAAAAAGGAAGAAGTGGGTAAAGATAATGGAGGAATGGATGGACGAATGGATGGTTAATGACAGCTAAAAATATTTTAATAACTTTATTTTGAAAGTCTCATCACCGGAAACGTTGTAGTTCCACCGGCTTGTTTCCGCTTTGCCTCTGTGTCGGTGACCTGTAGTGTCCTCTAGCTGCCGTTATTTCACTAATAGTCGATTAAAGACAACAAGATTAACATTATGGTTTTGGAGGAGAAGATGATCGTAAACGGAGAGCCCGACAACGTTAGTGTTTATTACAGTTTTAATACAAATAAAATGTATTTTGATAGGAAGCTATGCTAACAATCTTCGGCTAACACAGGGCTACATTTAGCATAGACAATGTTGACATGACATCTGCAGTTCAGAAATATTTTCAACCTGGCTGCAATAATGTAACAAGACCAATGTGAAGTCTTAACTAAATTTAAACCATTTTTATTAGTTGCATTTCAAGGGAAGGTGTTTAAATTTGAAAGTGAAGCCTAAAAACATGACTCATTGATGTGTCTGTTTCAGGAGGAGGAAGAGGAGGAAGAGGAGATGGTGGTATGTTAACAACATAGTTTGGATTATTTCCACAATATATACTATTTGCACAAGACTGGCGTTTTTTAAATTGAAATCTTTGTTTTCTTGTTGACGAATTAATGCAGTAAATTATAATGAAGCTGCTTGTTAATATCAAAACATTTACATCACTTCCCCTGTTTAAAGCACCCAACACAGCCTCATCCACATTTATAACAGTGTGGCTGGACGGAATTTGCAACACATTTAACAAAGATGTGCTCAGTTTTTATCATTGCCACTAGTAAAAATTGATTTCTCTGTCCTGTATCTTCCGTTACAGGATCCTCTTGAAACAGTGCGTCAGAAATGTGAAGCAGCGGAGCACTGCGTTCACACTCGGGAGCGTTTAGAGCAGTGTGAGACCAGAGTCAACTCTCGGTCTTCGACAGCCGAGGAGTGTACTGAGGAGTTGTTTGACTTCATACATGCTCGGGACCACTGTGTACGTAGACCTTTTACCCCTTGGAGGAAGCAAGGAGATAGAAAAATACATCTAATAAAAACAATGTCTCATGAGTGCATACTTGTAGATACTGTATAGGTATACTGTATCTTAAAATGTGTTTTTTATTTTTATAAAACCCTTATTCATACTTATGGAAAGTCTTTACCTTTCAGACACATTGCAGTCTGAGCTGTTTAGTTTTCTTTGCATTGAGTGTAATGTTCCTCTGGTTAATTTTCCATCTTTTCTCTCTGTAGGTGGCTCACAAATTGTTTCATTCTGTCAAATAAGGCCCCTTCTGGTTGTTGGACCGTTTGCTGACAGCATTCTTCAAATAGTGTAATATTAGGATTAATGTGGTTTAAAATGTATCCATATGTGGATCTGCTGTGTGTTCTAACTTTAATTTGTATGCTTTAATCTGCTTATGTGAAAAGTATTTCCCATTTAAGTCTGTCAGCATTTCAGTAAAGTGGAAGAGGAAATGTACAGAGTGTAGACATTTTGTGTCAAACAAAGGATATTAACATCTTTGTAAGAAATATTGTCAGAAAATATACTTTTCATGAGATGGAAGCATCAGAACTTTTGTGAAGAGACACTGATTGTAAAGTGAGCGTCAGCAATTAATAGCTCTGAAGAACTGTTTGAAAAACAGTTCATCATATTAAATTCACATTAAACACATTCTGATTGTGTGTCTCATGATTATGCCACCAACAATAAAGAGATACAGATATTACTCTTGACTTTATGAGTAAAGGTCAGTGTTATGAGCAATCACAGTGATAGAAGAGCTGGCTTCATGGTTTAAATCTGAGCTTAATTTTGTAAGTGCTTCTTTAAAAGGTCATCTTTGATGTTTAGACCTGTGGATTAAGAAAGGTTTTATGTTACTATTGACAAAAATCTATACAGTAATTTGCTTTCATGCAACAATATTTGTGAAAACATCTGTCACTATAGATTGGCACATAATAGTAAAAAGAACAGGTAGTATTTTATTTTGTTGAACAAGTTAGCCCAGCTGATTAGCTTTAAGTGGATATCTACTAAGGTATAACTTGGGTTTTAAATCAGAATAATGATGAATATTAAAATATTTTAAACTAATGTCTGTAGCTCAAAGTAATCAGGAACGTCATGGCACACGTTTAAATATGCTGAACACAATAATTGTCCAACTCGTGTATGATTACAGTTCATGCAGTAATGTGACTTGCACCTTACCTACATGTTAAAAAATGTTTGTAAGCTCAATCATCCAGGTAAATAAATCACAAAGAAAGTTAAATTGTGTCATCTGGACAGAACCAGACAGGACAAAATGTAAAAAAAAAAAGTTTGTAAACTTATTCATTTTGAACCATGTTGGCCAGTTTGTTCAGTCTGGTTTGGTGCAGCCATTTTGCGTATATATGCTATGCACTCAGGGTTGATTGTTTAAGACTGATGTTCCTCCCATTTTGCATGTGTAAAGCCAGTTTCTGGGAACTCCACAGCAGACTGGTTTGAAACACGTCAATACGGTGCTATTTAATACAACAGATCCTGTTGGCAGGCCTCAGACTGACGAGGTCTTTCACATGAAAGACAAAACATAGAACCTGTCCACATGACATGATTTAACGTTTTTGTGACTTACAAAAAACTTACATGTTACCATATTATGTTAAACCTACACTACATGTTAAAGTGATTGATTTTGAATTACTACTGGTGGCGTAGAGGTTAGAAAGTGCGCCCGTGATTGGAACGTCATTGGATCGACTCACCGGACCACCAACATCAAAATGTGTGTGATAAAGATGAAGCACCCACACCTGCCTCCACCCTCATTTGCCCTACTCTGAGCCCTTGAGCAAGCCCCTTACTGCACCGTCTGCTCCCCTGTGCACCCTAGAGGCAGCTCTCTGCTCCACACAGAGGGCTGTGGTCGGTGGTTTGGTCGCATCACGAAGGGCATCCGGCGTAAAAACCATTGCCAAGTCTTCATGCAACCTTCGGCGACCTCTTTGTTTTTTACAGTACTTTCTGGCAACGCTTGTCGCAACTATGACAATAAATCATGATTTTAACATTAACAACCACAAAACAATTTTAAATGAGTCCTCGAGGCTCAGTGACACAAACCTGGATAAATAAAGGTTGAATGAATGAATGAACGAATGAATATGAAGTGAAGGCAGAAGAAGGATGACACTTGCTCCTCACTTCGCTACACTTGTTCAATTACTTTGCAGTCATTAAAGCGAAGCACCAGCTGCTCAGTGTACAAACCAGCAACAACTTAATAAATTCACCCTCTAATAATCAGAACTCAGTCACTGAAGTTGAATCTGTTTATTACAGGGCGTTCTCTATTAATTCATCCAAAGAAGGAGATCAAAGTTGTCTTTGAAGTTTCATTACAAAAATAATGAATCAAACTAAGAATCAACAATAAACAAACAACCCAAATGATAAAGACTAATAATTTGTGGAATATCTTGTTCATAAAGTAGTAATTACTACAACAATGATGAGCAATCTAAACAATATTTAACCAGTAAAGGATTAATTCTCTTTGATCCACGGCAACATTAACTCTGAGCAGGAATTATTTTATACCCGAACAAATTTAGACAAAGTTTAACTACTTGATAGAAAATTTACTTTGGATTTTGGGTGACCAGAGCAAGTCATTTATTATCCCTGCAAGCCAGAAAATGATTTATCAAGTTGTTTCAGCTACAATGGAATAACCAGACCCAAAGTTTCATTTCATCTCAGCAGGTCTCACTGCTCCTTATCCCAGCTCAGGTCAGTGTTGAGGACTCGAGTTCACCGTTTTTCTGGGGTTCTGCTGGTGGATCAGACCAGGGACACCACGAGGAGAGGACTAGCCAGGAACTGCCCAAGGTAGCCGAAAGTCACTGTGACTTCAGGGGTCGGTGAGGACGACAGCTGATGAGAAGGTGTACGGGAGATATACAACCTTCAGCCGGCTTACACTTTACTCCAAAAACGTGAGTCTTGCAGTGAGAAAAACAACGCTTCATCTTCGGTAGTTAACTTCTACTTTGCTTCTAACAAAAACTGTAACTGAACAAACATGTTTATTAGCTCAGGATTAAATAAAAGACACTACACTCCCACTCTGTCACTCAGGGCCTCTGACCAGCTGCTTCTGCTCATTCCCAAGTGTTAGCGAAAGCTTAGAGGAGACAGGACCTTCTCTGTTAGTGCCCCTAAGTTATGGAACGCTCTGCCTTTGCACATTTGACAGGCCCCCTCACTGTCCATGTTTAAAACCCATCTGAAAATGTGTCTCTACTCAATGGCCTTCAGCCCATCTGAGACTTGATTTAATTCATTTTTATTGGTATTGATTTTATCTGTTTAACTCATCGTTTTATTGTGTTTTGAATTGAGGTTTTAATTCATTATTGTGTGCTTAGCTTTGTCACTTTATTTTTATGCTTTTCTTTATCTTATTTATTACTGACGTTCAGCATTTTGTTTTAGCTGTGGCTGTTGTTAATGCACTTTATAAATAAAGTTGATGATGCAAGACGGACATCAGACAAACTCCAGCAAGATGGGGAAAAAGATGATCTGCCTAGTGGCAAAAAAAAAAAAAAACTTTGTGGGTACCATCAGCTCTCAGAAGTGTTTTGGTGAACTCTGGAACATTATGTTATGGCTCCCCTCTGAAGACAACCGTTCCAGCTCAAACACACAGGTGTCTCTCAAGAAAATGCCACCTTCTGAAAAACAGAACAGAGAAACACATCTCATTATTTCACATGATTTCATTATAATGATTGAAAACAATAATCAATATTTTTCACACCTGAAACATCAGATATTATTCAGGTCAAAAGTCACTTTAAAGATAACAGTTAATGGTGAGTCTGGAAAACAACCCAAGGGTCAGAGGTCATAGTCAGGAGTGCGCATCTTCATGCTACAAAATTAATAAAAACATTTAATTTTTACAATTAAAAAATACTAAATAACGATTACTTCAGGTTTGCTTCATTGTATAGTCCCAGCGGTGTGGATCTTACAAGATGATCCAATAATGACCTACAACAGAAAATGGGAATAAAAATATAAGATGTGGGTTTTTAGCAAAAACTTTAGAAAAAAAAAGACACGGAAGAAGAAAGTTTAGCTAAAGACTTGAACACATGTGTTAAACAGACATTGACTGATACAGACAAAAATAAATAACCTTTTGGTCCTACAACTTTTCCAAACTAGAAACATCTATGAAAGAAAGGCCCAGGGTGCTTTTATCAGAGACTGAGAAAGGAGATAAAAACAGTGCAGACTTCTGCAGACTGGAAAAAAGGTGACACGGTAAAAAATACATACAATCCCTTCTCATTAGGAATGCACAGACCAAAATCTAATTGCAAGAGAAATTAGCAACTTTTATCAAAACATTTATTGCTCTTCTTTCTCAACCCAAGAGTGTGTCCTCCTTCTAGGCCAAGTCAACGAATTAATTCGCCAAATCATGGAGGAATTTCACGGAAGATTGTGACAAAGTCATAACAGAAGAATGGTAAATGGTAAATGGACTGTACTTCTATAGCATCTTTCTATCTGATCACGATACTCAAAGCGCTTTACACTACAATCTGTGTCCTCGTTTACCCATTCATACAGCACTCTACTAGATCTCTACAAAGCTAATTGAACAAATCTTTCTAAAGAGACTAATCAGTGCTTTATCACATTCATACACCAATGGAACACACATCAGAGACAACAAGGGGTTCAGTGTCTTGCCCAGGGACACTTTGGCATGTGACGGCTGGTGGATTCAAACCCCCAACTCTTGCTTTGGAGGACGACTGCTCTAACCATTCAGCCACAACCTCCCTAGACAGTGCTAGCATGTGCTTTAAAATAAATCCTCTGGCCCTGACGGCCTTACTGCCAATTTCTATAGACATTTCTGGGATTGTCTCAGATAATTTATATTCATCCATCCATCCATTATCTTTACCCGCTTATTTCATTTTGGGTCACGGGGGTCGCCGGTGCCCATGTCCAGCAATCACTGTGCGAGGGGCGGAGTACACCCTGGACGGGTCACAAGTCCATCACAGGGCCACATAGAGACAAACGAGACAAACAATCGTTCACTCTCTCACTCACACCTAGGGACAATTTAGAGTTTCCAATCAGCCTAACATGCATGTTTTTGGTCTGTAGGGGGAAACCGGAGTACCCGGAGAAAACCCACTCATGCACAGAGAGAACATGCAAACTCCACCCAGAAAGGCCCCTGGACCGAGGTTTGAACCAGGGACCTGCTCGCTGAGAGGCAGCAGCTCTACCAGTTGCGCCACCGTGCTGCCCAATTTATATTCAATTAAATTCAATTTAATTCAAAAGACTTCATTAATCCCAATGGGAAATTAAATGTTGTTGTAGCTCATCATCCTGGTTTCATTAAGTGATGCTATATGCTGATGGCTGTGAGCAGGAAGGATCTCCTGCAGCAGTCCAGCCTGCAGTGGATCTGAAGAAACTGACAGCAGATGCCGATCTGTCCACCCAAACCCAGCGGGCCTCTGGGTCCTCCTGGGCAGCAGGACCACCTGAATGTTGGACAGTACTCCTCCCTGAGCGATGGCCACTTCTGTCTGTAGCTTGTTGAGCTCTTCATCATTGCAGACAGCCAACTG